TGCCAGCATTGTTTTCTGAGGGCAGCAGAGCCTTCAGTGTTGAGTTTCACTGTTACTGATGTTACAATTCTGTGATTGTGTTTACTCCATTTTACACTTCATAGTTCAGTGTCTTACTTAGGGAGGCAGACTGGAATGTATTTTTTAAAGTTTCTTAAAAAAAAATGCGGTGGGGAAATGGATCTTCAGTAACAATCTGTGATGTCTCATTCCTACTCTCTGCAAATTTATTTTCAGATAGCATTAATGGATTCTGAATGAATTAATTCAAAACGAGATGATCTTTCTCATGCATTTCAAAAGCACCTATCAGATGATTGATACTGAGGTCCATAAAACAAGATAATGCTACCAGATGTTTCCAATATTCAGCAATGTCTCTGATGTTCTGGCTCAGCAGAAACAGTCATCCAGACTGCTTCAGAGGTTTTTAATATTTAGTAGTCTACTGCTGAATTATGACCCTATAAGCATCTTTTTCACCTTCCTATTTATTCACACTGTACCTAAAATAATCCAACAGACTGAGTCAGCTTTTAACTCAGAAAAAAAAAGTACTGTCACCTTAAAACTGCCTAACTCGCCAAAGTTGAGTTCCAATCTGCTAATAGCAGTATTTCAGTAAGATCATATCTGTAATTAAAAAACAAGCTGTGATTATAAAACAAGCCTTAAGATGCCACAGAAGTCAACTAACTGATAAGTGGCATTTCGGATCTCTTTTTTGTACTGTTACATGTTCTAGAGAATTCAGGTCTGTGGTGCTGGGGCGAGGGGCATCTGTTTTGCTTTTCTTCTGAAACTTGTGGATGTTTTTTCGAAGGAAGAACTGACATTTTCAGATATGAAGGAAGGAACGTGTGGGATTTTGTTGGGTTTTGGTTTTAAGGAGAAACTGATGGAGACACCTTTTTTTTCTGTCAGGACTTCTGGTATAACAGTATTGATGCATCTGTTCTTTTGTCAGTGCCTAAACGTTACTTTTCCACTGCCTTCCTAATACATTTGTTGTTTGAACTTGAAAGCAAAGATGTTTCTACATCTTAAAATGTGTTTTACATCTGTTTATCTGCTTAGGGAAGCAATTCCGAAGAAGCAGCAACAGCAACAGATTGGAAATAATATTTGTTGAAGTTGGGAGCTATTGGAATTGAATTGGATCTCCGAAAGCCAGATCCAAAGTAGTTTGTTTCCTGTATTACTGTAATTTTTCTCACATTTCTGAGCTTCTGTTCTTCTTATTAATCAGTTATGTCCTCATTGTTTTTACTTGATGCCCCTAGCCCAGCATAGCTGTTCCACTTTCTGCATGCGTGTATAACAATTGTTAATGACAGGCAAAGCAGAGTAAGCATGGACGTTTATGTACATATATATATATATATATATATATATATATATACACATATATATATATATATGGTGGTAGTAGTTTTACACACAAAATTTCTGTCGTTTCATCTGTGAAATGTCATCGTTGGAAGTCGTGCACAGAGGGCATCCATAAGTTTAATTTTGTTTCCTCATTTCGAGTTTGCAATTAAGTGAGGAGGATACTTCAAGATTCAAATGCCTTTACAAGCTGTGCATGCTGTTTAACTGCATGGCAAGCAATTAGCATTGCAAAACCTCTAAGCTAATTTTATAAAAATAGAACTGCAGGATAGTTGGAAATGTAGTTGTTGTTGTACTGAAACAAATAGAAGGCTGATGAAATGAAGTATCTTTAAGGTTAAAAAAATGTTAGATGACCCAAAATTAAAATATATGTGGAAAACATCCTTCTAATCTGTTATGAACTTCAATGGATTTTATCAAGACTTCTTGATATGTGAAGTGGTATATATGAAGGGAACAGAGCTGAAAGACCTGAATTTGTACGGTAACTAAATTTTTTCTCCTTCTATTGCAGTACTGTGAGAAACAGCTTTGAGTGACTACAAGATTGAAACCCTGACACAGGAATTCAAAAAAAAAAGATTTTTATAGCTCTACATAATAATATTACACTGCAGTGAGTCATGCATTTCAGCTAATACTTTGTGTCTTAGAATTACTTAATTTGATTTTTTTAATACAATTTGAACATTTAGCAGCTACTGCATGAACGATTCAAGCTGTAGAAAAACCACAGAATCATAGAATGGTTTTATTAATTGAGTGGACATTTGAAGGTCATTGAGTCCAACCCCTCTGCAATGAGCTGGGACACCTTCAACTAGATCAGGTTGCTGAGAACCCCATACAACTTGACCTTGAATTGCTTCCAGGGATAGGACTTCTGCAACCTCTCTGGGCAACCTGTTCCAGGGTAAAACTATAAAAATTTCATTTAAAGCTTAAAGATTCCTGAAAAATTATTTGTACCTGTCATCAAAGGACCTTTGCAGATTTATATGTTTTCTTTTATTCTTTCTGCACTGTCCACAAACACTGAGTTTGAATTTCTTATTTGTCTACGGAAAAATATTTCTCACTTAAAGAACTGCAGCTTTTGTAACCTCTCCAGGAAATAGTGTCTGCCCGCGAACACTGGAAACTTTACATTGCATTAAATTACTACTACGTGGCACTGCAACTCTTCTAATCTAAAGAATCAAAACCATGAAAGTACATTGTATATTTGCCCATATAATTTTGGTTTATCCAACTTTTCTATAGTATGTGACTGCCGTGTTTTTCAAGTAGGGTGATTAGCTAAAGGCACTGATTTCTCTAAT